CTATAATGTATTTCTGCCCGTTCTTTTTTAATAAATATGTTTCTCTCTCTCTCTCTCACACACACACACACACACACACTCACACTCACACACACACACACACACACACACACACACACACACACACACACAATAGAGAAAAACATTAAAAAGTTAAGGGTCAAGAGCCCAACTAAAGCAACCACTGATCGCCAAAATGGTGAGACCAAACAAAACCTTTTCAATACAGTATAAACCTTGGTTAATTCTCAAAGAATTTTGTAGATATATGACAGAAATAAAGTGAGTCTGGTTAGTAACGAGTGAAGCTGGTAATGCTGTTTGTGGAGTTGTGTAAGGCGGTGACTGAAGTCAGTTGTAGTTTTGTTTCTTGTTCTTTCCTTCAGTGATTCTGCTTGTTAACAGCAGCTGTTCATCAGTGTCTGAATTCACTTCATTTGTTTTCAATCACTCGGTCTAGTGGACTTTATAGTGAACTAATGTAGGGAATAGTGAATGAGGGTGTAGGGTGTGATTTCAGACACAGTCTACGAGTGTTGACTCTGAGGCTACTTTCTCGAAAACAAAGGTTAGATCTATTACAGTTATTCACCGTATATATTAAGGAAACTTACTGTTAATCATTTAACAGGTTTTTACTGTGGCATTTCTACAGTCTTTTACCGTTAAAATCACAATCATTTTTTACAGTGTTGATCATACTTATCTTTTTATTTTTTTTAAACGTTTTTGGTATTGGAGAACATTTTTTAAACTGGATTACATTTTTGTATGGAGGTGCTTCTTGCATTGTTAAGGTGGGAAGTAGTTTAAGCTGACCAATTCCAGTTTCAAGGGGTATCAGACAAGATTGTCCTTTATCAGGGCAATTATATAGTATTGCCATTGAGCCTCTTCTTTTCAATATGCGTAAAACATTGTCTGGTTTCATTGTTCCTGGTTTCTCTCAGAATTCAAGTATTAGCGTAAGTGCTTCTGCTGATGATGTGACAGTGTTTGTTAATCATGCACAATATATTAAAGGGATCCCCGGGTATTAAGACATGTATAGCTTAATATAACGTAAATGATGTCTCTTAATTAAATATATAGTAGAAACCACATGAAAGATGTGTTATTTTAAAAAATCGACATGGTTTTTGGACTATGGGGGGCGCCATTATTTTATGTGCACAGTACATTCTGCGTCGATGATGTCAAATGGTTGCACTCGGTGAGAAATTCAGAAAATAAAATACTGATACGATATCACATTGTGTGACTTTTGGTTGTAATTTTCAGTCGAAGGGCAACAAGAGAAGCAATGCAAGACTTCACAAGAAGAGGAGAAAAGAATGGGAAGATGCCTGTGGATGAATAAAACTTCCTAAAGTCCCGCTTCTTTTTTCACTCCACTTTAGTCCTGATGCCTTTGAGTCTTTTAGTAGACCACAGCTACTGAAAGAGCTTACAAACGGCTGAGAAACGCTATGTCATCCTGTAATCATGACGCGCGGCCGCTAGAGGAGATTCTCAGCGCAGATTTTCCTCGAGATCCGGAGCGTTTAGACTCCATGTGGGGAAAAATCGATGGTACAGGATTTGGTTTAAGCCTATGCTTATCCAGCTACAGCTGTAAGCTCTTTCAGTAGCTGTGGTCATCATAACAGTATTTTATTTTCCGAGTTGTCTATTCCGAGTTGGGTTGTGGTAAAATTAGCAACAGGTAGTGGCAGTAGCTCACCGAGTGCAACCATTTTACGTCATCAGAATAATGGCGTCCCCCATAGTCCAAAATATGTATAAAACGATGTGATTTTTAAAATAACATAAATCTTCAATGGGTCCTTCTACTACATATTTCAGGAAGAGACATCATTTACGTTATATTAAGCCATACAAGACTTAATACCCAGGGATCCCTTTAAGGCTCTGTCTAATGTACATTATATGTATGAAGAAGCTTCATCAGCTAAACTTAACTGGGATAAAAGTTAGGCTTTTTGGGCAGGGAAGGTTCTTCATGATTTTTTTAAAAGTTGCCAGGAAATCTTAAATGGAAAACAGAGGGGTTGAAGATTTTAGGTATTTATTGTGTTTAGTGAGTTTCAAAAGTTAAATTGGGTTGGGTTAGACTAGGAAAGAGTGTGTACCAGATTGTTTCGCTGGAAATGGTTGCTACCTCAGTTGTCCTAACAAGGGAAGAGCTTTGGTTACTGATAACTCGGTGACCTCTACTCTTTGGCATAAACTCATGAGTATTCATAGGTTTCATGTGACGTCACACAGTGTAGGACCGAACTGCAACTCCGTCAGTCTGCTGTGCTGTGCTCTGGGCTGAGAAACAGCCAATCACAATGCATTATTTACCACGAGATGTGGATGTAGGGGATTCTTTTCAGTAAATATTTCTCGTAAGCATAGATGCGTTTTAGTATTAATACATTTTAGTATTTTATTTAGCAAGTTCATAATGAAACTTGCAAAAGGTTAAATTTGCGTGCGAGACTGCTGATTTGCCAGAAAACCTTTGTTATGCTCCACCTAAAGCTAATAAATCACCGAGATGTTTTTGATCTAAGTACAGTTATGTGAGTCTAGAATGTCTACGCTGCACTAAACTTTGACAAACACTATGATCCACAAACACACAGATGAAGAAGAGGAGGAGGATGACGGTCCAGCGCACACAAGGAGAAAGATTTGTAGTTTTAGTTTCCACAATCTTATTTTATGAATGTAACTGAATGTAATTACTTCAAAGATGTTAGAGTGAAGAGGACCTGTTTGTACTATTATTATTATAATTCTATAGAAGATCGTCTTTTCAAATAATCTCATTTAACTAAATATATAAGTTAGTTGCAGTGAGTTTTACAATGAAAATGTACTGCAATCAAATGTATATGCATCAATATGTCTGAGATCATATGCAGTAGCTGTGCCCTGCTTTTACAGTTACTAAATGTAAGCAGCCTTATATGTTCAGGTGCTCACCAATATCAATACACATGTAACTGACTACAACACAACACAGAGTCACGGTTGTGTTGCTACTTTAGTTGCTTATTCACTTAGCATGTAGAGACATACAGGAATAACTGAATATTTCTCTTAAATGTGCCACAAATGTCTTTTAACAATGTTTTGTAGTAACCGAGAGAAGTGTCATCGCAGAAGACCTCCTCAGACAGCTGTGAACAGCGAGCAGTGCTTGGAGTCAGACAGTGGACTTCATCTTTATTATACTTCTCTGACTGGACGAGCAAGCAGTTAAGAGTCCATGAGAAAGTAAGTTCAAGTACATGTCTGCATTGACCATGATTATACCATGCACTGTATAAACGTAAAAAAAACTGTGAAATGCTTGGCAGCACAGGGTGCCAAACGTTTACCATTAATGGAAATAATGGTTAAATAACTTTTTTTTTTTAAACGGTCAATTAACTGTTAAATTAAAGTACAACATCCTATTTGTTCTTAAATGTCTTTTTTTTAAACTGTTACTTTACAGGTATTTTCTGTGAATTTTTTTTGCAGTTAATAATCAGCTAACAACAGCACACATGCAGTAACTAATAACTACCATTGCATCAGCAACACCAGAGTTACTGCCTTTAAATAAAGCGACATGCAGCAACATTTATTGGTCTTCTGCTGGACTGAAGCACACACTCTACTCTTCAGCACAATGGTGACCCACAAAACACAGACAACAGAAACTCTTTAAATCCCAAAAGAACATTAAACACTAACAGATCTCTCTAGATCTCAGCATCTTCACTTATTACAAACCAGTCTGACTTCATTTCTCTCATACAAAACTTCTTATTAAGAATTAACTGAGGTTTAGGTGTTGATGTTTTATTGAAATTAAAGGGGTCATATGATGCGATTTCAATTGTTCCTTTCTCTTTGGAGTGTTACAAGCTCTTGGTGCATAAAGAAGATCTGTAAAGTTGCAAAGACTAAAGTCTCAAATCCAAAGAGATATTCTTTATAAAAGTTAAGAGTCAGCCACGCCTACCTAAAACGGCTCGTTCTAACATGCCCCCACATGTCTACCTCACTATGTGGGAAGATTTGCATAACGCCACCCAAATGTTCACGCAAAGAAAGAAGGCGTAACTTTTATTCTCGCTGTAGTATTGTTGCTGCCGCCATGTCGTGAAGATGCTGTGTGCTTCGTTGTGAAAGCGAAACTACTTTGTTTGGTCTTCCAAAAGAGGACACGACTAGAAATCAGTGGTTAAGTTGTATTTACAACACTGTTCCAGAACACTTCAACCCAAATATTCAGATGCGTGCAGTGTATGTTACGGAGGACGAGGACTGTTTCCTGGGAGAGTAGACTACAATGCCGGTGTCTGTTTCTATAAAGTGGGGCAGTTCCAACTTTGCAAGGACAGTCTGGTGCTTCTGACTCAGTCTGTAAGTACATTTACATATTTTTGTAGGTTTGGGCAGTGTAGAGTAGCGCTTGTTGTTTGTAGTTTCTCCGATCACAAATGCAGACATGGTTTTATGTTTACGCGGCGCGATGCAACGCAACACGTAAAAAGACAGTATAAGTCATTATAATCAGTAATTATGTCCCCACTGGATGCAACAAATGCCTGGTTTATAATGGGTTTTAATGTGTTTGTCTCGTCGCTCCGGCCGGACAGGGCATCACAGTATGGTGAGGGGCGTAACATTTCCGTCTCACGCTTGAGGTATTCGGCCAATCACAATGCACTGGATAGCTGGCCAATCACAGCACACCTCGCTTTTCAGAACGATGAGCTTTGTAAAAATCGAGGCGTTTCAGAAAGGCGGGGCATAGAGGAGAAACAGTAATGTACAGTATGTGGAAAATAATGTGTTTTTTAACCTTGAACCGCATAAACACATTTCATTACACCAAATACACAAAATAATGTTATTTTTAGCAGCATCATATGACCCCTTTAATAAAGTTTGAAGTCACCGTTGTGGAGATAAGCATTTACGTTAGTTGTGCTTCTGACCCTTGACTTTTTAACAGTAATTTTTTTTTGGCTGCTGTTACTGATTGATTCTAAAGCTAATTTATTACAGCAAAATCTGTGAGATACTTTATGAGAAGTTGTTTGCATTCTAGTAATGATCCTGTCATCACGTAGTGGCCTGATTCACTAATCTCTACAGAGATACATACCTGAGTATGTTAAATTTATTAATTTCTTTTTATGTTGTCATTGAATTTTACTCCATTCAAGACACTTTCTATATAATGATTTTATTTTAATTAATCACCATTTGTTATAACATCATAAGACTGCTGTAAAAACAACAAAATAAACCCAACAACATTAAAAGCTGGCGTGTTCAGAGAGTGTACTCGGGATATGATCAGGTTGCTATAGTACAGGTTACAAGTAGCTAATTCAGAGATAATTTACAGAGTTTTGATTGCTATTCAAAATAAAAGAAAACAACCTGGAAAAAAAACAAGTTTTCGTAAAATGTATTAATATAAAAATATAATTTTTTATAATGTGTAATATAATGTTTTCTATTACAATTGGGGGGAATCTTAACGGAAGAGAAACTGACCAACAGGAAGCTATGGATCTATGGATGTGTATTTTTCAAGCATTTTATTGTGGCATTCACTGGTATTTGTTATTTTTCTGCACAGTGATAACTAGTGAAAAGTGTTTCTACTCATCTACTTATAAGTACAGTTAACCCAGAATTCTGTCATCATTCACATTATTACATCAATCCCCCTCATTTGTTTTTCAAACCCCTGACTTTAGTTTTTCTGCAGAACTCAAAAGAAGATACTTTGAAGAATGCTGGTAATCGAAACCCACAGGTGTGTCACGTGTAGACGACATGAAGGGAGTAAAGGATTGTCATGTTTGGGTAAACGATCTCTGTAATTAGGATGATACACACTTTAACTTTCAATCATACTGGACACAGCCACTTAATGTGCTAGAATTAAATAATAATAAGTAAATAGTCTTTCAAACAACATGTACTTTAATACTATATATATATATTCACTTTCATTCAGTTTGGTGCATTCAGTTAGACCTTTAGTAATAGATACTTGTGCATGAGTTGCTCTTGACAGGTGCAGAAATGAAAGCTCCCAAGCTAAATACTCACTGGACTAAGATGAGGAAAGACATGCTGCACAATGACACACAACCAAGATCAGTATTCACTGATTACCTTTAAAATTATTCATAGTAACAGCTGGGTAATAATTATTTACATTATTTTACCAAGTACAAGATGTTTAATTCAAAAACTTTGCCATTTACCAATGTGTCTCTCAAAACACCTTTTACACTTTTAATGTTTTAACCTTTATTAAATGTTACAGTCCAAGTGTACATATAAACGCCTCATTCATTCAAGTAAATGCATGGGTAATTTAGCAAAATGTGTTAAATATTGTATCTACACTTATTGTATAACTGCTGTTTTTTGCTGTAATTGCATGGTTCTGTAAATAACTTTTCCTCATGCCAGCTTGCTCAAGCTAGTTATTTAATGGACTTTAAAAATGCTTTCATAATGAGATGTTTATAGATTTGTTAAGTCATGTTATTTATGTATTATAATCTATATAATTAAAATGAAAGTAAACATTTTGTCTAGGTAACGTTATTAATTTTAAATGAAATATTAATGAACAGTACAGTAGAAATGAAACTGGGCTAAGTCTGGCGAGTCCGGCTCCTCATGCCAGCTTGCTCAAGCTAGTTATTTAATGGACTTTAAAAATGCTTTCATAATGAGATGTTTATAGATTTGTTAAGTCATGTTATTTATGTATTATAATCTATATAATTAAAATGAAAGTAAACATTTTGTCTAGGTAACGTTATTAATTTTAAATGAAATATGAAACTGGGCCGAGTCCGGCTTGGATGCGGCAGTGTCGGCGAGTTACGGCTGTCGCATCTGGTCCGGTTGATTCGGCTCAGAATCTTGAAGTGAGTACACAGGCATCCAGGCCGGGTGCGGCAGATGAATCGGGTCAAAAGTCTCTAGCAGGTGAAGATTTAACTGAAAATGGCCCGAGTGTACGGAGAGGGATTGTGTATGAGGTAGATGTAAATAGCCAGCAAACGTCAAATTGGTAAGTTTTCCCTAGACTAGTGGAGTCAGCAGTTCACTTGACCGTAAATAAGGATCTAATCCTAAAGTATCTATTTTTTTAAATACCATTGTTTTCCGTTGTTGTTTAAGTGTTATTTTGGTTTCCGATCACCAAGGAGAGGCTACGCAAGGTCCTAAATGTGGCGGCCGCAACAAAAAAGTCACGTGACTGAAACCCACCTACAGGACTAATTCAAGTGTTCAAAGAAGGTTGGTGACCTTTTTCTGGTCAAGACAACACTGGATTCATTCGGCTGCTTCGTATCTTCCAGCACAAGAAGGGGGCAGGGCTTGGTGGACATCAAGTCTAGGATCAGGACTTTTCGTCTGCAAACAGCTCAGAGACTATTGTATAATAAAAAACTCTGCTTGGATGGACACTGCAAAAGCTCTCTTAAAGAAGGCTGGTGGAATGGGTTTTGATAAACATTTGTTTTTAATGCAGTTACAAGAGACTGAGATGGTTGATCTTCCACTTTTTATAGATCTGTGTTAGAGGCCTGGAAGGTTTTTATTGTATCAAGATCATCTGATACACCTGCTGGTCCCTGGATACTGGAAGAGTCCATTTTTAAAACTATTTTTGACCTTCAAGACTGTTGAACTCTGAAAGTTTGTGGAAACACTTCTTGGTGGCTGGGTGTAATAAACTGGGACACATTCTGGGAAGTGATGTGCAAACCTTGATCCAAAGAAGTGGGGTGAAATCGATCTGCTTTCTACAACAGTGCATCGCAGAAATATTCAAGGAATTAAGAGCGGATTATCAAGTTTTTTTGACAAACCCAGCAGTTTTAAATGAATGGGTAGAAGGTGTAACGGTGGTTGTCTTGTCCCAAAATATAACAAAAGTTAACAAACACACAAACAAAGAAAAAAACTACCTGTAGCAGGAACCGAACCCAGGTCACCCGTGTGATGACTCTGAAATCCTCAAAAGAATAAAAAACACAATCAGTTATTGATGTTCGGGCGCCAGACAAGTATATACCTGCCACATTTTTATATTTCATTCATCCCAGATAGCACAACAGACAAAGAAATCCATCCGCTACATACAAAAAAGATAACATTAACATTAGGATAAAGGTAACACTACAGGAAAAGTTGTGTGCAAATTTCTTTGTTTTGAATGAAATAATGTTAACATAATATGGACAAGTTTTTAGATTTCCAAGCACCACAATTCTACTTAAAAAAAAAAAAACAGCACCTTTTCAATATGCGAACACTGACCAAGCTGGCAGCATGGGTGGCTAAGAGTGACTCGGGAGCATCGGCAGAGTCTTGGCTCCTTCCTCTTTGACAGCTCCAAGTCACTGATTTTGGGAGTATGGTGCGAAACTCCAGTTCAATCCCCATTCGCCGGCCAAGAGAAATGCCTGTTAGCAACAGGCTAAACAGGTAGCACCACCTCCGTTCCACCATCCCCGGAAACACACTCCGAAAGATCCACCCGCAAGCACTGCCTCCAAAGGGAACGTAACACACAAGTTCCAGTCAGACGAAATTCCCTCCAGTATCTAAACCTCACCCTATATACATGTACTCTTCCTCATAATCAGTCCTCGTCTCCAATCCTAATGCATTTTAGTTGGAAGGCGGTGACAGAGAACATGAATGTAAACAAAGGGGCAGTAGGGAAAATATCTGTAATGTCACAAACGGGACGATTTAAGTTTTCCCTCAATCATCAGAAGTGTTGCTGTGAAAGATTGGGAAGAAAATGAAAGCTGTTTGTTGTCTTTAAGTACCCCAGTTTTGGAAGATTTTGAATCTGCTGGAAAAAACTCTTATGTGTGAACATTTCCAACATGCAGTGTGTTACAGCTCAATCCTAGTGTTGGGGTGGGTTGTGCCTTTTGTTCTGAGATGGAGACAGTTTTTCATCTTTTTGTGCAGTGCTCGCTCGCGATTGGGATCTTTTTGGTTTATTAAATAGTTGGTTCTTGTCCATGGGTGAATAATTTTATTTTCAATTGTTCATTTTTGGGCCTAAGTATTCGGTTCGAAAGAAATGTGCTGCTTTTAATTAATTTTTTATCTGGTACTGCAAAATTAGCCATTTGGGAGACAAGAAAAAATAAACTGTTGGGGCAAGGGTCAGTAAGTGTTGTACCCATGTTTTTGGGGCTTGTAGCTTCTCGATTGAGAGTGGAGTATTATTATTATTATAAGCTGGTAGATTCATTGCCAAAGTTTATAGAATTATGGGGAATAAATGAAGTATTATGTACACTGCATGATGATGAATTTGTTTTGATGTTTTGAAAGAGAAATGTAATGTAATCTAATTGTAAAAAAAATGGTCTCCCATATTATTTGCTAACCCTATAAATTCACCTTGATATTTTACTTATCCATTCAAATCCTGGAAATGTAATACTTTTTAAACCACTTTTGTGACAGACATTACACGTTTACCAGGTGGACAATTGCAAAATATATAATATTAAGTAGTAATAATTATATGATGAGTCAAAACATTGTGACCACCCATCAGGTCAAGTGAATATATAGCCAACATGTTAGTGCAGAAGAAAGACCTGAGCTAATCTGACCACTCCCAGTACTCAACCTAACCTGGTCCAGGTCTGTATGGCAATATCTCACCCACAATTAGGCCAGCACTTATAGCCCAGAATCGGCCAGAACATGGCTAAATGTGCCATTTCACAGCCACAATCGGGCCAGATCCACACATCCAAAGCCTAGGCAAATCTGGCAACTCTTACTGGGCCAGAGCTGGCTCACTTCTGGAGAGCCGCTGCCGGTAGGGAGAGCATGGGCGAAAGTACCACTTTTCAGAAAAACGTGATTTTAAAAGATGTTTTAGACAGAGATATATTTTTGCTGTGGTCAATAACTCACAAGTGTGGTCTGTCAATACCAGGTGGTATTTTGTAGAAACGTAAAATGACTTCAGTATAATTTCATTTTGAACATAAGTTGTTACATTGTTACTTTTGACCCCGTCTGTTGGGTCAAAAGTAACAACAATACAAGCTAGATTTTTTTTGTGTTACTCTTATTTTTTTATTAAATATACCTGACTATGGCCTTGTAATATGTAACTGCAAACATATTTTGTCTTTTATCTTTGCAAAAAATTATTAAATTACATTTTCATTAAAAATTTTAATTTCATCAAAAGTAACCCGACATAAACTTGAATTGTTTAGATTGTTTATTGGCAATGTCAATTCATTTTATAAAACATTTTTTCAACAGTATGAAAGTATATAATCCAAGAAACAAACAAAAACAGCCAAGAAACCCCATGTATCAGTGGCTGCAGAAACAAACGTTAGACAGAGGCTTTGAGAAACCATGGCATATTCTCAGAAGACTGGAAAAGTTTGAAAAAATACTATATGAGCCGGAAGAGTCAGGTGGCAAAAAAAGAGGTTCATTTGGATGGAAACCTGACTAATGTTAACAGGCATTAACAGATAAACAGTAGAAACAAACACGAACATAACAAAAGGCATTTGCCTACTCATTGTCACAGTTGTGACAGATATAATGTTCTGCACCCTTAGTGCATGCCTCATGTGACCAGAGCTGGCAAAAGAGACACTGCACCCACACTTCCCCAGGCAAGGATGAGTTGAATGTTTCCCCACACACAAGACATTCCTCATCCTTGTTCTGGGAAGCTGTGGGTGCAGTGTTTTTGATAGTGAGGAGCCTTTCCTTTGGAGCGGACGGCTTCTTCTGAATCCTCTTCTTTTGCTCCTCCTCCAGAGCTGCCCTCACCGGACAGTCCGTGAGGATCGATGTTGACCTGCAACATTCAAAGTGAGAAAAATTGCTGTCAACATTTATATAAATTTACAGGCAGTTATTGCTCATCCTCTGTCCACATGGTGGCAGCATGTATAAAGAAATTATTCGGGACAAAGCAAAAACCAAATGCCACTCACCTCCTTTTGCCTCTTCGTTTTGTGTCCTTTCTTGGACCAGCCTTAGGAAAGGGACGTACAGCTTCTGGAATGAATGCCTGGACAGAAGTCCTGGAACTCAGGCCTAGAGTAGTGTGCCTGTCGGCCCCCCTCGGACATCAAACAGACATCTTCCCCCTTCTTCAGGTGGGTCAGCTTAATCAGCAGACACAAACAATAATATCAATATCGTGCACAATTCTATTTTAGTTATTATTTTACTAAAATCCTTCGGGATTAACCAAGTTCTATCTTATTTTATCTTACCTGAACAGACAGCTGGGTGGTCAGGGATGGCAGACTCTAAAGAGGAACCACCAGGATACTCTGGCAGCAGCCCTCCCTCAAACAGGCTCTGGCTAAGTGGGTGTTTGTTGGAATGTGGTGTGGGACCACATGGTACCAGTGAAGGAAACGGGCGGTCGGTGACATAGGCAGGTGAAAAGTCTTGCTCCTCAAAAATATCTGGGTTAAAGGGGCAGATGCCAGTGCACACAAAGCCAGACGTTATGTTTCTGGGTGTCGCTGCTCGTGGTAGAGCTGTGGCTACTAGGCTTGGAACATCATAGATGGTCAAAGTTTTTCCAGGGTGTGTTCTCATCCAGTGATCTGCTGCTGTGTTTATATATCGCTTCAGTGGACCGAAGACGCTCCTGTCAAGTGGCTGGAGACGATGTGAGCAGTGGGGTGGGAACGATAGTAGGACTATGACAAAAGTCAATTGCTGCCACAGAAAGGTATGACCAATGATTGTTGAGGAGGAGAAGCACCTTCGACTCCAGGGTCACACGGGTGTGTCTGGCAAAGTGCTGGAGAAAGGCCAGAAAGTCTGTATCCTGCATTCAGCCTGAGCTATTTGCAGAACCAGCAGACCCAATGGGACCATTTCTCACAAAGTGGTCCTGGAACTTCTTCCTGGGAAAGATGAAGTACGGGGGAATGCACTCGCCTTGTGCATTTACTGCAAGGGCAGTGGTGACCAATGTCCCCCTCTCCCCAGAGGTCACTGCACCGACCTGGCGCTTCCCCGCCATTTTGGTGTCATCCCATACATCTGGATATTTGCAGCCATATCTGCTGGCCAATTCGTATGCAAATTTGCGCACCTAAAACATTTTTAAAAAATGGTTAGATGGAGATTGTTTATGACATGATTGAGATAAAATAAGACTTTACTGATCCTGCACTGAGGATTTTTATATGTTGCAGCAGCTTCAGAGACAGTGGAAAATGAAACATAATTTAGAATATTAGGACAAAAATTTCAATAAAAATAAAATTAAGATAAAAAATATATTTAAAGAATACACAAATGTCACATTTTGATAAGCATCTAAAATGGTTTTAGTAAGAGCAGTGTGAGTGAGCTGCATGCTGAGTGTTTTTGCTGTACTACACTGACCTCCTTAGGAGACCGGCCAAAATAAACATCAGCTGCCCTCTTAATATAACACAGAGAAGACTTTAGAATGTGATCGGTCCCCTGGTGGTCTAGTCTTATCCCTAGTGGTCTCTGCCCTCCTCCTGCAGTATCTGAGCAAAGACATGACATATGCCCTCATACATATCTGGCTGAATCAGACCCCTGTCTGTCTATCTGACCCTAACTCTTGGCATATTCTGTTGGTGTAATATGACATAAACATGTTAGAAAGTCAGCACATTAGCAGCGGGACAAAAGTAACAAGTGTTACTCCCGTCCCAAAAGGAGCTCCTGACATTTAAACCCGATTTACTTTTTTACTGAAAAACTCTGACGAGGCAAACTTTAGGATGTGTTACAGCACTAAATAACATGTAGATTGATCATTACTGTGACACATGAAACGAGAAACACAACTTGTAATTAGAAAAAAAGTACAGCTTCAGTAATTTACTTACCGTGCCGGCCCTAACTGCAGTATATGTGGCAGCTCCGTCAAGCGTCGCGTGCTGAATGTGCTGTCATAGCTTGCAATGAAAATGTAATCAGGTCTCTGAGAAAATCGCTTTGTTACTTTCGCCCCGGTTCTCCCCTACACAGCCGAGTGTGTTTGTGCTTATGCAGAGTCAGTGTTAGCGCTGATTTTAATGAGATGATTAAGCCACAATGGTTCTGATGTATCTAGTTCCCATGTTAAGTGTGATTCTCATCCATACCTGTGTTCAGTCGCTGAAGCAGCTTCTTAACGCAGCACGAGACTGTGATGCTGCTCTGCGCCGCTAGAGGGAGCGCAAGGGAACTTCAGAGGACTGGTATGGCAAGCCGTTTTGACTTTTATTCATTCTCGGGATATGAATTCTTGATATCAACAATTCAATTTTTACTAGTTAAAAAGTTAATTATTGATATCAGGAATTGGATTTCTACTAGTAACAATGGTTATTTTTGATATCAGCAATTACATTTCCACTAGTAACAATGTTAATTCTTGATATCAACAATTAAACTTTCACTAGTTAAAATTGTTATTTAAGATATCATGAATTCCTTTTTGGATATGTGCATAATTTAATGACGAGTGCAACCCTTTATGAATGTTTATGGCGGATAGACGGCAAGGTACAGAGCCCAAAAGAGAATGGGCACATTCGATTGCCCTCTCATGAAAATAAAACGCTCCTGTAGGCTATTTTTAATCATTATCTTGTTTTCAGTTTAGCAGAGGCTACTTACACTAACTCCGCCTACCAATGTGACTGCAAAACGACTTCAAATAAGTGTCAGCTTCAGTGGCGCAGATGGTAGAGCACAATACATTTGTGTTTTGACGCGAAGGACCCGATTTCGAGTCTGCCTTCTGTCGAACTCGTTCTTCTCCCTTTTCCCATTACGTATCACATCGGAAACGCATATATTTTCAATAAAAATGAAGAAAATTATCGAAAAGTGGAAAATAACGTGTGGATATTGGTTAAGGTTAGGGCTAGTTCACTGTAAAATCCAATAGTTTACCTTAGATTTAACTAGTTATCTGTACTTAGTTGTTATACTTACTAGGTTTTATTGTTACAGCTACTTTCAAGGCAAATAAAACAATTGACTTACTGTTTTGAGTGACACTTACTTAAAATATTCAAGTAGCCACAAAGGAACCAATGACATTAATAAAGCAGTGAGAGGCAGCAGTGCACTAATATGTTGCTAATGTGCAACATAACAACAGCAGAAGAAGAAAAGAAAACGAGTCTTAATAGACTTTTCACTCATTTCCTCCATGTCTGCAGTTATCTTTCACTAGTTGCATTAACTCGTTTCCCAAAGTCATCTTGAATGTTGAATTCTCAATACAACTGAAATATTTGAGAGAACATCACATAAGCTGACTTCATAAATTGATGTTGATTTTCCTAAATGTTTTTTTTTAACTCACCATTATAGTGATTAGTGTTCCCTTTGGTTGTGCACTTGGAATTTCATTTATATTACTGTAATTTTTTCTTGTTAATGCAGCAGTATGCACCAGAGTTATTTAATTTCAAGGACAGAGAAGTAATAAATAAATTGCTTCTAATTAAAGCATTAGTATATTTATTATTTATGTTTATTGATGAATTTTTCATAAGTAGCTTGAGGTGCTTTTAATTAGGTTTATATAATCCTTAAATCATGTGTGGCAATATGCTGAAGTCACACACAGACTTAAAACATTCAGAACGTGAATCACAACAATGGTAACAATTACATTTAATTTATTTTCATTAATTATAACAATAATCATTTTATTTGCTCTTTTTGTTGTGCTGCTACTGACACAAGACAGCAAATAAAAATTACAAATAAAATCAACAACTATAAAACAAAGCAACTGTATAATTTATTCATACCGCAATGCACTCTGGGAGTCAGTGAGTAGCTATACTAAGTCATGAGTAAACCTAAATGAAAGGATCAAGTACCCCCTACAGTTCTTTTTTAGTTACTAGAACTCTCGTGTGAGTAAACTATACTAACTAAGCATTTGTCAGTACAACATATTTTTTAAGTAAGCCCAACTAATCGGATTTTACAGTGTTGTAGGGGCGGCATCCATTTAATAATTTTTAAATAAAAATTATAATTTACACTCAATACATTATTATTGTAGCCTATACTGTTTTATAATGTAGCCTACTACAATAATGAGGTGCAGATATTGGCCACTATTTGCACTAAGTAGTACGAACAGCATCAAACTACTATTACTGCGAGAAAATACTCCTATTATTAAAGTGTAAATAGAATCTATTGCTAAGAAAATATGCTATTTTCACTTAGTGTAAATAGAATTCATTGTATTCAAATAGCCCCTGACAAAATCAAATTCTAAACTATCAGCCATTTCAACTGGAAGATGAAGGCTGTGATATTAATTTTATCCACTAGAGGAAGCCACAGGATAAGGTTTTATTGAAAATAAATGCAATAAATGTGTATAACCGTAGTGTAGCGACAGTAGTTTCATATTATTAGTGTGCATATTAGTGTGCATATTAGTGTGCATAGAAATATGTGAAATGCTTGTAGATCATTTATCCCAATAAAACACACTTGTCAAGTTTCCAGACATGATTAAATATATAGTTCTGTACTACAGGGACGGTTCTAGACCCTTTTAGGTGGGCTTCAGCCACCCTATTTGTCGTCTCAGCCCCCTAAAACTATAATCAGCTATCTGAACGATCAGACCAGCGCTGCTTCCTCATGAAAGTTTATCATTCTCGCTTTTAAGGGCAAGATGGCACGAGTGAGATCTCAATGTGGTATTCACGTGCTGTGATATCGTTACTGTGAACACACAATATTAAAATAGCCTACACACAATATTATGTCACAATAACTGTCTTGACGAGTATCCAAGTAAACACAGTCAGTTACATCTTAACGGTTAAGAAAATATTAATGTGTCAGTATAACGCTAATTACGTTAATATTGTTAATAAAACAAAGGAAAAACAGAGAAGCACTCACTGCTCTTAACTAAGTAACTTATGTAACTTTAATAGGTAATTGTATATGTTTATTTCGTAATACAGTTTTCATAAGCACTGTAAAATACTGTTTATTTAGGACATTTGTATCTTTGTATCTAATGGTCTCTCTGAGGGCTAAGCCCCCCCGAGGATGAAACCCTAGAACCGCCCCTACATTTAAAATGAAGACACCATTTTATTTATCTCTTTTGAGATAACATATAGTCTCTATTCTGTTTTATTTTGTGTTGTTTTGCCAAAACAACACTCAATGCAATTTCAACATGTTAGATTTGTTATTTTTGATATCTAAAAATATATTTGTGATATCAATATAATTTCTGATATCTAAAATGGCTTTCTTACTAGTAACAGTCACATTCATGATATCAGAAATGAACATCGTCACTAGTGGCAGTTAAATTGTTGATATCAAGAATAGACGTCTTTACTAGTAACCACGTGATTACTGATATCAAAAATAAAGGATTTTACTAGTAAGAGTTGTATTTCTGATATGTGAAATTGGAATAGTAAGAAATCAATTCTTGATATCAACAATTGATTTTGAATGGCAGCCTATGGTGACATTTAACTAGTGAAAATACAATTACAGATATCAAGAATTATAGTTGTTACTAGTGGAAATTTAATTCCTGATATCAATAATTAGCATTTTAACTAGTAAATATTGAATTGTTGATATCAAGAATTCATATCCTGAGAATGAATAAAAGTCAAAACGGCTTGCCATAGGACTGGAGCTAAAGACGAAAGTGAAATTATAAACCACGACACCATTTCGAGCAGAAAACGAGTTAACACTGCGGATTCAAACGGTGGAGGATGTTCCGTTCAGCCAGTCGTGGTGAGCTTTTAATCCACCAATCAAAACCCTCTTTACTGAACAGACTCGAGAAGCTCAAGCTGCGCTTGTACTGTGCAGTGTTCCATGATTGGGTCCTTGATGTAAAAACATTTTAATGGGTACTCTTTTTTTTTAGCACCTGATTACAATTTCTACGTTTTGTGCTTGTAAATGTTAAGTATTAATACCTACGTATAAACATGAGACCAGGCTGAATAAACAGGGTATGTGCAACTTTGGTGTATAAGACAGCAGGCTAACCGGGAAGCTGTATTTTGTGCGAACGGTATAAATCATAATGTGACATAAATGTCAAAAATACCTAACAACAGATAATGTTGCATGCAATGTATGTCAGCTGATGTTCTTTGACAGTGTTCACACACCACAGCAGTTTTACTAGCCCTCAATTGTGCCAACATTTTCACTGGCCCAGCCAAAAAACACTGACATAAATGTCAAAAATACCTAACAACAGATAATGTTGCATGCAATGTATGTCAGCTGATGTTCTTTGACAGTGTTCACACACCACAGCAGGACTCTGTTTTACTAGCCCTCAATTGTGCCAACATTTTCACTGGCCCAGCCAAAAAACACTAGATAGATAGATAGATAGATAGATAAACAGACAGATTTATTCTGCGACATTAAATAATGGCAGCGGCTATTTGCACTAAGTGCAGATATCGATAGATTCTATTTACACTGTTAAAATAGCAGGATTTTCTGCTATTTATACTTCTTATTGCAAATAGTGGCAATTATCTGCTCCTCAGTATTGTATTACACTATAAAACAGTATGCAATAATAACATATTGAGTGTAAATTATCATTTTAATTCAAATTATTAAATGGATGCCACCTTATTGGGACAATAAAGCTCTCCCTACACCTACCCTAACCCTACCCGATTTTCAACTTTTTTATTATTTCCTTCATTTTCATTGAAAATAAATGCTTTTGGAGAGTCCCCATAAACCATAAAAACAAACCTGTGTGTGTGTGTGTGTGAGTAAGAGTGTGTGTGTGTGTGTGTGTGTGTGTATGGAGCCAGATCGGCTTCAAAAATAATACATTTATAAAACAAAATTCATAAATGCACAGCACAATTTACATTTACAAAATCCGATTCGTAAATTCAAAACGCAATTTATAAATGCAGAAGTAAAAGCATAAATATTTCCCCAAATGCTCACACAAAAGCATCTTACCTAAATAAATTTAAAATGTTTATACAAATATGTATATATACATTTCTTGAATTAATTTCCATCACACATTTATGAATGATGTTACATGTATTTATGGATCGTTGAATTTGCAGATCATCACACATGCGTGGACTGCTTTGAATTTGTGTGTGGTATTTTTGAGACCTTCCTGGCAGGTTAAGATTCATAAATATCTTTTTTTGGAGGATGTTCCGTTCAGCCAGTCGTGGTGAGCTTTTAATCCACCAATCAAAACCCTCTTTACTGAACAGACTCGAGAAGCTCAAGCTGCGCTTGTACTGTGCAGTGTTCCATGATTGGGTCCTTGATGTAAAAACATTTTAATGGGTACTCTTTTTTTTTAGCACCTGATTACAATTTCTACGTTTTGTGCTTGTAAATGTTAAGTATTAATACCTACGTATAAACATGAGACCAGGCTGAATAAACAGGGTATGTGCAACTTTGGTGTATAAGACAGCAGGCTAACCGGGAAGCTGTATTTTGTGCGAACGGTATAAATCATAATGTGACATAAATGTCAAAAATACCTAACAACAGATAATGTTGCATGCAATGTATGTCAGCTGATGTTCTTTGACAGTGTTCACACACCACAGCAGTTTTACTAGCCCTCAATTGTGCCAACATTTTCACTGGCCCAGCCAAAAAACACTAGATAGATAGATAGATAGATAGATAAACAGACAGATTTATTCTGCGACATTAAATAATGGCAGCGGCTATTTGCACTAAGTGCAGATATCGATAGATTCTATTTACACTGTTAAAATAGCAGGATTTTCTGCTATTTATACTTCTTATTGCAAATAGTGGCAATTATCTGCTCCTCAGTATTGTATTACACTATAAAACAGTATGCAATAATAACATATTGAGTGTAAATTATCATTTTAATTCAAATTATTAAATGGATGCCACCTTATTGGGACAATAAAGCTCTCCCTACACCTACCCTAACCCTACCCGATTTTCAACTTTTTTATTATTTCCTTCATTTTCATTGAAAATAAATGCTTTTCTGATGTGATTTGAAATTTGAAAAGGGAGAAAAAAGTTCGCCAAGAGGCAGATTCGAACCCGGGTCGATCGCGTCAAAATGAACACGCTGCACGTTTTACCATCTGCGCCACTGGAGCTGAAGAGTGTTTACTGTCTTTTGTAATGTTGACTAGCCAAATCACATGTTGTTGGGTGGAGTTACTGTAAATAGCCTCTGCCAACAAGGTGGGCTATTTGCACTTAGTGTAAATAGACACTGTGTTAAAGAATACTCCATTCATGATTTTTTTACAACTTTTACGTAATTTCTGTATTTGCCCATTGAAGCAAAAGGGAAACTCAAAAAAGAAATGCTCTGTCAGCACCCGAGGGTCTTTCGTGCTATCCCCTGGCCATCAGCAAGCCCTGAGAGAACTAGGTATGCGTACACTTGACAACTATACAACTATATACAAGATGTCAACACCGGACGTGACAGAGTTAAAAGACGCCACAAAATCAATCAAAAATCACAGCCAATCAGAACAGCGTGTGGGCGGAGTATCTCTGCAAGCGCACTGAACTTGCAACAAAAGAACATAATCTAATTAATGTATATTAAACAATTTAAGAATTGTTAAAAATATATACTGAGTAACTAATACAATCTTTGCCATGGAATACACTTATGTGTTGACACTGAGTTCACAGTTTTACTATCCATCTTTTCTTTAACCATTTTTCAATATCTGAGGTAAATCTTAAATGAACCAAAAACATTTAAGATACCTTTTGTTGCATGTGTAGTTAATCGCAACCCAACGGTAATCGCGACCCATCAGTAGTAATAGCGACCCAACGTTCTCCTCAGAATATTCAGCAAACTTACTTAAATCAGAATTTAGTGCTGATAACAATAACAATGTAAAAATGCTCGAGAATGAGATGAGACGAGTGACATGCTGAGTGATTGACAGGAGGCGTGGCTATGTAGGACTGCTGTGTGTGTGACGTGAGCTCGCTGTCAGAGAGGAGAGAGAGAGAAAGCACAGCTGATATCGTTTTATCGATCCTGCGGGAAAGCGGTATTGAACCGTTTTAAATATTTCTCTATAATATGTGTTGAAAAACTATATTTTTGACAAAACTATTAACAAACCCAAAAGATTCGGGGCTTTTGAAAAATCCTTTTGGGGCTGGAGCCCAGGGGCGTGTCTACGTGGTGGTCCTGAAATTTGGCTGGCCACCCCAGGTGCCCCCCCTACCAGATGTCTTGCGATAGGCTTGTTTTTAGTAAATTTCTAACTGCATCTGGCAGTGGCGGATCCTGGCATGTGTAGGCAGCTGCCTAGGGCCGCTTTCTTCTCCTCTTTATACTTAATTTTAGGCGGTTTATATAGCGTGATATATGACAAATATCAAGAGCGCATAATGTTACGTGATCCATGTAATGCGCGAGCACGAATCTCTCCCCTCGCAAGCAGATTTCCTTCACTCTCACAAAACTGGATGTGTGCTTTTAAATATGCATTGTTCTTTTATGAATTGGCTGTGCTCTCGCTCAGATATTGCGTGTACACGCTCAAACGTTGTCTTCGCATCACTGAAGACGAAGAGCTTTTCT